TACTCTAGAACTTAAAGTATAATAATAATAAAAAAATAAAAACAAACAGAAAACAGTTCTCAAACCTTGGGTTGTGTGTCATAATGGGAAGAGGTGGCCTCTAGCCTTGGCTCTGCCACTGCTATGTGACTCAAGATAATCCATTCTTTCATTCATTCAACATTTCTGGAGCAGCCATTCTGTGTCAGACACTATGTTCAGCACTGGGGCCACGTTGTGAGGAATAGATAAAGAACCTGTTCTCCAATCACACAACTTCTCCGAATCCCATTTCTTTGTTTGCAATGTGAGGGCTGCACTACAATGAGCTCTCAAGACCCCCTACCCCTGCTTCTTGATTCTTTCACGTGGGAGCAAAATGTGCCCAGAAAAACAATAACAGGAAAAGTGATACCAATATTACATGCCAGACATTATGCTAGCTAATCACTTTTATATACATTGCCTCATTTTGTTTTCTCAAGAATTTCCTAAAATAGGTATTATTATGCTCATTTTCCGGGTGAGGAAACTAAGAGTTGAGAGGTTGAGCTGCTTTTTGTTACAAGCAAGAAAGAGGTAGAGCCAGACTCAAAACCAGCTTAGCTAACTCCAAACTCAGCATTCTTCTCTCCTACTCTGTTCGTGTTTTGAAAAGCTCATTAATCTCCCCTGGACTTTGCTCTGGGATACTTATAAAAAATTTACTCAAGAATTCATGGCAGTACGAAAATAAAAAGAAAAATAAAAGAAAATAAACAAAAAACCTACCTCATTCTTGCCTTACCGGTTTTCTGCTAGCCTTCCCTCCTTCCTTACCTCCTCAACTTTTCTTATTCATCCCAAGAGTGATCCTGCCACGTCAGCCAAGACCAGCACCCCCACTGCTTTGCCTCCACTTGTGCTTACCTTCCACCTGGATTTGAGACAGAGTCTCGCTCTGTTGCCCAGGCTGGAGTGCAGTGACGCGATCTCAGCTCACCCCAAGCTCTGCTTCCTGGCGATTCTCCTGCCTCAGCCTCCTGAGTAGCTGGGACTACAGGTGCGTGCCACCATGCCTGGCTAATTTTTTTGTATTTTTAGTAGAGATGGGGTTTCACCATGTTAGCCAGGATGGTCTCGATCTCCTGACCTCGTGATCCGCCCACCTCGGCCTCCCATAGTGCTGAGATTACAGGCATGAGCTACCATGAGCCTGGCCTGGAATCCTTTTCAGTCTTGTCTGTTGCCAAACTCTGCACTCTTTCCCGGACTTTATCTTTCTCCTAAATTTAATTCATTCATCCTCTCACAGTTGTCCAACACAGTAGGAAATTCAAAAAAAGAGTACCTGAGCATCTCTTTGAAGGAAAATAAGGCACACACAGATTGCAGCAAGAGTTATAAAGAGTCATGGGCCATTTATTAGTTGGTGTTTCCCTGCAAGGAGAGGTCTATGGTAGGAGATGATTCAAAAACTGTCCAAGGGCTTTCTTATGCTATCTTTTCCCCAAAGATGCCTTTTTCTGTTTCTCTTTTTTTTGGACTATACATGGTCACTGTAGAAAATTTGAAAACTATCTACTCTTCAGAGATAATCACTCTTAGTATTTGGTGTATTTCCTTCTGTGGTGGTTAATTTTATGTCACCTTGGCTAGGCTATAGTGCCCAGTTGTTTGGTCAAGCACCAGTGTAAATGTCATTGCAAAGGTTTGTTTTGTTTTTATTTTTAAGATGTGATAAATATTTTAATCAGTAGACTTTGAGTAAAGTGGACTACCCTCTATAATGTGGGTGAACTTCATTCAGTTGAAGATGTTAAGAATAAAGACAGGTCTCCAAGACTGAGGTTTCCTGAAGAGGAGGCAATTCTGCTGCAAGACTTGCAATGTAGAAATTCTGAGTTTCTAGCCTACGAGTCTGGTATACTGATTTCAGATTTGCCAGCCCCCACAATCACAGGGCCAATTCCTTAAAATACATCTCTAACTCTGTCTCTTTCTCTCTACACACACACACACACACACACACACAAACATCCAAGTGTGTGTGTGTGTATGTGTGTGTATATATATGTATGTATTATATATACTTGGATGTAAGTATATCCTATTGGTTCTGTTTCTCTGGAGAACCATGACTGATATACTTTCTTTTTGCTCTTCATTTCCTCTCGATTAACACTTTTCAAACTGTCATGTCTGTGTGTAAATCACCTGTCTTGTTCAAGTGCAGCCTCTAAGTCAGTGGTGGTGGGCTAAGATTCTGTGTTTTGGACAAGCTCCCAGGTAATGCTTATGCTGCTGCTCTATGGACCACATTTTGTGTAGCAAGGCCTTATATAATCAACTTTTTCTTTTAAATAATATCATGAGCTCAGTTATTCTCCTAAAACATTAACTTGTAACTGTATTGCACTCCATCATACGAGTTGCCATAAATTTGTTCAGGCTTTAGAAACACATTTCCCAAAGGCTGTTTAGAAAAATTGTCCGAGTATGATCTCACCCAAAGGCCTGACTTCTGTAGCACAATAGAAAAATACTAGAAATGTAGAAAAATTATCCAAATATAATCCAACCCAAAGGCTTGGCTTCTGTAGCAAATCAAGCCTGCATGCTCAGCCCCTGGCTTCAAGGGCTTTCCTTAGTGTTTTTTTTTTTTTTTTTCCTTTTCTTTTTATTTCAATACCTATAAAAATTCCCTTGGCTTTTGTCTGGGTGCTCATATTATTATTGTCTGCTGTGAAGGGGAACCTACTGAATACACATGGTTCTCAGAAGCCATTCATACATTCCTCCATTTATTCATGTGATAATATTACTCAATTATCTCATCAGTTGATGTTATAAGCACCATGCTGGGAGCTGTATACAGGGGATTCATTTAATAACCAATCATAAAATGAATGTAATTGCAGTTATGATAATTACATGGTGATGTAAGTATATAACAAGAAACTGCTCTAATCTAAGGGTCAGGAACACTTCCTAAGGAAGTGACATTTGAGTTGAGCTCTGGTTGTCCTGGGGATATACCACTCATTTCCTTAACTTTTGGCTAGTCCTTTCTGAATAGGTGGGGGCTTTGATGACAGAACCTTGGAAGTCACCTTTAGTGAGAGGTGGCACACATGAAGTCTCCAAAGGTCTCCCTAGAGGTCCATTGTAGCTGCTGCTCCTCATTCTCCCTGTCATACTCTTCTGGAGATGACACTTCAGGGGAGTTCCCCTTATGTCTGTTTCTGGGCAGCATCTCAATTTCCCTTTACTGAATCTGAACACAATCTGATTTCCCATCTGTTACAGGAAATACAGTCTAAATAAGAAGTTATCTTAAGGTAATTCATCATAGGCAAATATTTTGATCTTTGAATCAGTCATTATTTCAGACACTTTCTGCCACTGCTCTTTCTATTAATGTGGGTAATGATAGTTGAAAAGAAAGAAATCGATACTACAAAGCTACAGTAATCAAAACAGTGTGGCACTGGCATAAGGATAGACATATAGAACAATGGAGTAGAATTGACAGTCCAGAAATAAATCTATACATTTATGGTCAATTGATTTTTGAAAAGGGTGCTGAGACCATTCAATGGGGAAAAGAATACTTTCTTCAGCAACTGGTGTTGGGGCAACTGTATATCCACATTAAAAAAAAGTGAAGTTGGACCCCTACCTCACACTATATATAAAAATTAATACAAAATGGCCAATAACCTAAATATAGGAGTAAAAATAATAAACCCTTTTGAATAAAAAATAGGAGGTAAATCTTCATGACCTTGGAATTAGCAATACATTCTTAAATATGACACCAAAAGCGTGAACAACAAAAGAAAAAATAGATAAACTGAACTTCAGCAAACTTAAAAGTGTTTATGCATCAAAGTACATGATTTTAAAAATGAGAAGAAAACCTACAAAATGGAAGATAATTTCAAATCATACATCTAATAAGGACTTGGTATCCAGAATATATGAAGAATTATTACAACTCAACAACAAAAAGACAAACAACCCAACTAAAAAAAAAAAAAATTGGCAGGTAACTTGAATAGACATTTTCCCAAAGAAGATATACAAATGGCTAGCAAGTACATGAAAAGATACTCATCTCATTACTCATTAAGGGGATGCAAATGAAAATCACAGTGGGGTACCACATCAAGCCTACAAGGAAATTTATTTTAGTGGGAAATAAGTGTTGGTGATGTGGAGAAATTGGAGCACTTATAGATTTCTTGTGGGTAGGTAAAATGGTGCAGCCCCTATAGAAAACATTTTGCTGGTTCCTTAAAAATTAAGCATAGAATTACCATATGACCCAGCAATTCTCGTCCTAAATATATACCCAAAAGAATTGAAACCTGATATTCAAACAAATAGATGTACATGCATGTAGATATTCAAAATATCCAAAAGATAGAAACAATCCAAATACCCATTAACAGATTAATGGATTTTTAAAATGTAGTTTTTCCATTGAATAGGGTATTATTCAGTCATAAAAAGGATTGAGATGTTCATGCATGCTACAATGTGCATGAACATCAAAAACATTACACTAAGTGAAAGAAGCCAGGAACAAAAGGCCACATATTGTATAATTCCATTTATATGAAATATTCAGAATAGGTAAATTTATAGAAACAGAACAGCGATTAATGATGCCGGGGCCAGGAGGCAAGGAGTATAGGCAGCAATTGCTTAATGGGTACAGGGTTTCCTTTTCGGTGATGAAAATGTTTTGGAACTACATATAGGTGCTGGTTGCACAACATTATGAATGATTAAATAACTTACGTAAGTGGTTAATTTTTTTTAGTTAAAAAAATTTTTTTTAAATTATTTCACCTCAATAAAAAATAATTAAAAAAATCAAGATTAGATTCTTTCTTTCCCTCTTGTGTCTGCCATATTTTATGGTTAATTTCAAAACATAGTAACAAAATTATAATGTATCTTTGGTTATTACTCCCTTGGGTTTTTATCATGCTAATGCATTCTCCCATTATTTTCTACTTTGTACAATTCAGATTTCAGTCCAAGGCTTCAGGTACATTGCAAACAGCTGCACTGGAATTACGCATCTTACCATTAATGACATGCCAACTCTGACGGACAACTGTGTAAAAGTAAGTAATTGGAAAGTACCTTTTCTTTTCTGTCCCATAAGATAGATATATGTTCTAATGGCTTGAATTACTGAAAAATATGAGTGGACTTTTCATTTTAGTTATTTTTTAATAGTAATAAAATCATTTAAAAGTTTCCACACATGCACATACCCTTGAAAACATTTGAATCCTTAAATATCCTAAGAAACCTTGTTTCACAGTTAGGATTTTTTTTAGTGATGTTATAGCCTAAGCATAAACTTTGAGTTCAGTTCTCCATGCTAAGCTGCCAAATGTAGTAATTTTTTTCAGTAGTCCATTTCTCATGTTTTCCCATACTCTTAGTACATGATTTAATTCTGATTCTTCCACATTACTGAAATGTAAGTGTGTTAAAATGTATTGAAAAATCCAGTTTTCTTTGAAATTAGGAAAATTAATAGTTAACATGTCTGTCTCTAATATATTGAAGGAAAAAATGACTTCATTAGTTTGCTAAACCTGTTCTGTACCCTTGATTAATTTAATCATTTTTTTCTTCTGAAGGCTTTAGTTGAAAAGTGCTCTCGTATTACATCGCTGGTTTTCACTGGTGCACCGCATATCTCCGATTGTACTTTCAAAGCTCTTTCTACTTGTAAACTCAGAAAGATCCGATTCGAAGGTCTGTTATATTAAAAATGTGGTTCAGCATTATCATTTACTTTTACTCTTGTGGCATTATAAATACAATACTTGTCTTTTCTTCTGTTTTTTACAAACAGGAAATAAAAGGGTTACTGATGCATCCTTCAAATATATAGACAAGAATTATCCAAATCTCAGTCACATTTATATGGCTGACTGCAAGGGAATAACAGACAGCAGCCTCAGATCCCTTTCACCTTTGAGGCAACTGACTGTGTTGAATTTGGCAAATTGTGTAAGGTAATGAGTCATTCAGTAATATACTCAAGAAATGTTGATTATCTAGTACGTGCCAGGTCCTCTCCTACGGAACTTATGGTTCGTAGGGTAAACATGAAAGTCAGGAGTCCAAGTGTTAAAGTAGAGATAAGTGCAGAGGTCTGTGGTTATAAGAAAGAGGGCTCCCAACCCAGATTGATTATATGGGGTGTAGGGAGAGCTCAGGATATGAGGAATTATGGACTCTTGTAAAATTAAGCAAACTCACAGGAATACTTACAGGCTACCTTTCCTAATGAGGGTTTCCATAGCTAGTTCAGTTAACATGATCTTTTCCCATATGGACTTTCTGACTTGCTTATGAAGAACCAATCTCACCGAAGGTTTTTCCTCTTGGGTACTGGTTAGATTTTTCATCTGTGTCGAATTTCTGACAAATGGACAGAGGGTGGGTTCTTACTGAAATTCTTTCTTTAGCTGGTCCACTATTGGACTACTCTCCTGGTATTCTCGGGAGCAAATTCTGTTTTTATTTTTTATTTATTTATTTATTTTTTTGAGACAGAGTCTCACTCTGTTGCCCAGGCTGGGGGGCAGTGGCATGATCTCAGCTCACTGTAACCTCTGCCTCCTGTGCTGAAGTGATTCTCCAGCCTCAGCCTCTTGAGTAGCTGAGATTATAGGTGTGTGCCACCCCACCTGACTAATTTTTATATTTTTAGTAGAGAGAAGGTTTTACCATTTTGGCCAGGCTTGTCTGGAATTCCTGACTTCAAGTGATCCACCTGCCTCAGGCTCCCAAAGTGCTGGGAATACAGGTGTGAGCCACCACACCCAGCCAAGGATCAAGAGGGTTCTTGCTGAAACCCCTTCCCCAGTGGGTAGCTCAGCCTCTTACCTATGTAGGATTCTTATAATCTTATAGGACCACATAATAACAAAATAGCATTTGATCCACAAAATTATACTTGAGCCACGTTGAAGTTGGCTAATATTTGGGAAAGCACAAGTCAGCATAATAATCTAAGCTACACAGAATCTTTTATTTATTCATTTTTATTTTTTAGAGACAGGGTCTTGCTCTGTTGCCCAGGCTGAAGTACAGTTGCACAGTTACTGTAACCTTGAACTCCTGGGCTCAAGTGATCCTCGTGCCTCAGCCTCCCATGTAGCTAGAACTACAAGGCACACTTCATCATATCCAGCTAATTTTTAAATTTTTCTAGAGACAGGGTCTCACTATGCCCAGGCAGGTCTTAAACTCCTGGCTTCAAGTGATCTTTCCACGTTGGCCTCCCAAAATGCTGGGATTATAGGCATGAGCCACTGCACTGGCCCACTACACAGAATCTCAACCTATGTTGCCTATTATTAAAATGGGAAGGCAGCATGGGTCATTGGGAGCTGGAGGAGATATAAGGGTTTGGAATGGAAAAAACCTGGATTAGGAAATGAGGGCTCCAGCCAAGGGCCAGTGAAGAATTAAAGACTCCTGCCAACAGCCATGTGAGTGAGCCTGAAAGCAGACCCTACAGCCCCAGTCAAACCTTCAGACGACTGAAGCTCCAGCTGGCATCTTGACTGCACACTCATGAGAGACCCTGAGCTAGAACTACTCTAGTTCACTTCCAAATCCCTCAGATCCAGAAACGGGGAGATAATAAATATTTGCCATTTAAGCCACAAAGTTTGGATCAATTTGTTACATTTAATAATAACGGTGAGATGCAGACACAGACACACACACACTACATAAGTGTGTGTATCAACTAATTCTATCTGTATGAATATGTGAAATAAAACTGAATTTCATTCTTGTATTTCACACAGGCTTCTGCAGGTTTTTTTTTTTTTTTTTTTTTTTTTTTTTTTTGAGATGGAGAGTCTCACTCTGCTCACCCAGGCTGGAGTGCAGTGGCACAATCTTGGCTCACTGCAACCTCCTGCCTCCTGGGTTCAAGCGATTCCTCCTGCTCAGCCTCCCAAGTAGACAGGCACCACCACCATCATCCCTGGCTAATTTTTGTATTTTTGGTAGTAGACAGGGTTTCACCATGTTGGCCAGGCTGGTCTTGAACTCCTGACCTCAGGTGACCCACCTGCCTTGGCCTCCTAAAGTGCTGGGATTACAGGTGTGAGCCACTGTGCCTTGCCTAATTAATCTTAAATGGAAGTTTTCTGCCTCCAGAAGTAGAGGTGACAAGACACTTCAAGGGGCTCTGCCAAAAATAGTTCAGATCCTTGATTAAATATATTTTCAATATGTTGCTGAGCTCACAAAGAGTAAGAGAAATATCCAGTAGCCCTGAATCCCCTGGTTCTTTTCTGCTCTCTCAATGAACAAATTCACTGAGATGAACAGTGAATAACCAGCAAACATAAAAGGTTGAGCATCTCTGAACACAAATGTTATGACAATAGTTGCCTTTGAGAGAATCAGCTCTGAGCAAGACTCAAAGTAGGGAAGCAGAACCTGAGACTTCTGCAGAGTTTGTACCTCTTTAAGGGGAACAGAGTGGTCTCAGGTAGGTAGTTCCTGAGCTCCTGGAAGAAGTTAGCACAAAGCTTCTCAGGCTAGAGATTAAGATCAAATAAATAGGTACTCAAAGTCAAAGATTGCCAAAATGCACAAAGATACAAATCACCATGAAAAAGAGTCACAGAAACAGCAAAATACATTTGACCTTCAGGTAATTCAGATATAGGAATTGTCAGACAATTAAGTAGCCATGTATGAAATATTCGAAGAAATAAAAAATGGAATCAGAAATATAAGCAGACAACCAAACATGATAAAACAATTAAATTTATCTGGGGAAAAAACCTAACTTTTAGAAACAAATGATGTAATATAGTTATTGAAATAAACAATGGATTGCTGATCAGCAGATTAGAACTCACAGAGGAGAGAAGTATAGAGCTGGAAGATCATTCTGAAGAAATGACAACAGAGGATGAAAAAATATATAGGGTAAAAAGATAAAGCTTAGTATTGTAAAGGTAAACTGAGGCTGGAGCTGAACTGGGAACGAAGACACAAGGCAAATGGCAGTGAGAATAGCCTTTATTAGGACTTGCGGGTGAGGTTTCTCAGTCCAAAAGGGTGGGCCAAGGAAGTCGCGCTGAGGGAGGAGGATAGGGGCTTTTTATAGCCTGAGAGGTAGGGAAACTGGTTGTGCAAACAGGGCCTGGGGGGTCTTGAAACTACTAGGGCAGGAGCTGAGTAAGGGTCATGAGGAAGGGGTCTTTGGAAACTGTTAACTGAAACTGCTATTTACGAACTTGTGGAATGCAGGTGAGCTGCAGGTCATGGGGGAGTGTGGTTGCCCAGCCGGAACTCTGATGCATGTAAGTCTGTGGGTGTGTACAAGGGTGAAGGGGAGTCTTTAACGAAAGGCCTGCTATGCTGGGTAACGCCGCCATGTTGAGTCTAGATTCCTGCCTAACATTCCGACCGACCTCTTTCTAATAAGAAAATGGGGCGACGTGTTCATCTGGCTGCTTTCTGCTGATATAGGCCGTCATGGGGTTCTTCGGAGGTCGGAACCCGGGTATAGGGGTGGAGCAGCATCTGATTGAAAGTGACCTGGGAGACTTCTTTCATGCGGTCCTGGATGAAGCGGAGGACACAGGGAGCTATGAGTAGCAAGAAGCCAATGATTAGTAAGGGGCTTAGAAAGGGTAGGACTTAACCGGCCACAGACGACTGCCACCACGTAAGTGAGGGCCTTGATCTGAGGTTTTTCTGGTGGAGTCTTTCCTGAATCTTTTCCAGAGTGAGGAGATTGGTTTCTACTAGTCCTGACTCATTGATGTAGTGTTCGGCTGGGAAGGGGAAAGGAGGGGGTTAGGTTAGAGGAGTTAAAAGGGCTGGGTAAGGGTACCGCAACCAGTGGGGGCTTATTCTATCTGCTGTGAGGCTTTTTGTAGTGAGTGTGAGGAGTATGCCTAGGTAGGTGACAGAAGGGCTTCAACGTTGAGCCTTAGCCGGGGTAACCTGATAACCTCGGTCACCTAGAAAATTTAAAAGTGTAGCAGTATCTGCTAGGGAGCACTCCTAGGAAGGACTACATAGTAATAAGTCATCAACATACTGCAATAGTGTGCTGTGGGTCAGGGGACAGAGGACAACATCCTGTGCCAGTGCCTGTCCAAAAAAATGGGGGCTATCACGGAACCTTTGAGGCAAAACAGTCCAAGTCAGCTGGGAAGAAATATGAGTGTCTGGATCTTAGAATGTAAAAGCAAACAGAAAGTGGCAGTCTGGGTGTAGAGGGATGGTAAAGAAGGCATCCTTCAGGTCAAGGATAGTGAAATGGGTGGTGTCAGGGGAATGCGCAAGAGGAGTGTACATGGATTAGGAACAACTGGAAAGGTAGGGACTACTGCCTCATTGATGAGGCGTAGGTCCTGCATGAGACGATAGGCCCCAGAGCTTTTCCGTACAGGCAGGATAGGAGTATTGCATGGTGAGTTGGTGGGAACTAGAATGTGCTATCGGAGCAGGCGTGTAATGATAGGTTTTAATCCCTGTCGATGTTCAAGGGAGATAGGGAACTGGGGTCTAGAGGGAAACTTGGAAGGGTCTTTTAGCCGGATGCGGACCGGAGTATGGTGCTGGGCAATGATCGGGGTGGAGGTGTCCCACACCTTAGGGTTAATGGGGACTGGAAACGGGAGTGGGGTGTCAGCCTGGCGGGGTTTGTCAGGTGAGAGAAGGGGGAAGAGGAATGTGAGGTGTGGGGAGGGGTTGGGTTGGAAGTGAACTGAGGCCCCTAGCTTGGAGAGGAGGTCTCATCCTAACAAGGGAACTGGGCACGAAGGAATGATAAGAAATGAGTACGAGAAGAGGGAGCCATCCAGGTGGCAAGACAGAGGAGGAGTCTGGTGGTAGGTGGAGGGAGTGCCTTCAATTCCCATGACTGTGACAGTGGAGGGGTGGCTGGGGCCACTGAAGGAAGGCAAAACAAAGTAGGTAGCCCCCGTATCCATAAGGAAGGATATGGACTTACCCGCTACCTGGAGCATGACCCTGGGCTCGGCGAGAGTGAGAGGGGTTCCTGAGTCTGTGTTCCCGAGTCTGTGTTCCCGAATCTTTGTCAGTGTCGAGGAGCTGGAAGGCGCCTCCAATACTTGGAGGAGGGTCATCACGTGGAGGTGCAGCGACCGTCCTTAGGTTGGGGCAGTCTGACCTCCAGTGGTCCATCCACCGACAGTTCAGACAGGGGCGAGTTGGCTCCTTTGGGTTAGGGCACTGCCTGGCCCAGTGGCCGTCATTGCCACACTTGAAGCAGGCACCAGATGGCGCTCGGGGAGTACCTCCTTTCTGGGAGCTCCTGGAGCCAGCTGGCCTCAGGGCTGCTACCAAGGCCTGGGTTTGGAGTTGTACCTTCTGTTTTAGCCTGGGCTGTCATCGGGCCTCGGCTGCTTCCTCCCTGGAGTTGTAGACCTTGAAGGCCAGTTTGACTAAATCCTGGATGGGAGTTTGAAGGCCTTCCTCCGCCTTTTTAAATTTTTTTGGATATCAGGGGCCGACTGAGAAATGAAATATGAGGCCAAGATGGTTCCTTCTGCTGGGGAGGCAGGGTCAAGGCGGGTGTACTGAATAAGTGCCTCAGTCAGCTGGTTAAGGAAAACGGCTGGATTTTCATCTTCGCCTTGGACTACCTCCTTTAATTTGTTAAAGTTGACTGATTTGTTAGAGGCTGCCTGCATGCCAGCAAGAAGGCACTGAACCATCATGTCTCGGTGGCGGTGGCCTGCCTGCCCTACTTGGTAGTCCCAGTCGGGCTCAGCCGACGGCATTGCCTCAGTGCCAACTGGCATGGCAGGGTCAGTTAAATGAACCTGGTTAGCGTGCTGCCTGGCTGCCGCTAGGATGCGTTCCTGCTTCTCAGGAGACAGGGTTGAGGTCATAACGACATGGAGGTCGTGCCAGGTGAGATCATATGCCTGGCATAGATACCTGAACTCTTTGATATGACGAGTAGGATTGGCCGAAAAGGAGCCTGCACGCTCCTCAACCTTAGACAAGTCTGCCAATGAAAACAGCACATGGACCCGGACTACTCCTTCGGCGCCTGCCACCTCTCATAAGGGACACAGGAGGTGGGTCCTGGACCGAGTATGGGCTGAGACAGGTGAGGAAGGGGAGGAGGTGGAGGTAGGAGAGGCAGGATCTGTCAGGTTTGGTGGGGACACAGAAGGGGTAGAGGGAAGGGGTGGTGCCGACGAGGATGGGGACAACAAGGGGTTAGGGTAAGGAGGGGGTTGAGTGGGGGGCCAAAGAGGAGGCAGGGAAAGAGTGTCAGGAGGCTCAGAGAAGGAGGAAGAGTTGTCCTTCTCCTTGGCTGAGGGAGTAGATTTCGCGAGCAGGACCTGGGCCAACGAACATCGGGCACAGAGGTCTGGGCGAGAACGCAAGTCCTAGAAGGCCTGAATATAGGGTATCTCGGACTATTTGCCTAGTCTCTTACAGAAGCTGGTCAGATCTGTGAGAATGTTAGTCTAGAGTGCCTTCTGCAGGCCACTGAGACTGATTATCCAGTTTATATTGCGGCCATGCTATTGTGCAGAAGAAAATGAGCCGCTTTCGTTTTATGTCTTGGCTGAGACTTAAAGTCTGGAGATTCGCCAAGAGGCACCCCAGAGGAGATTTTTGGTATGGTTTGGACTGGGTAGTTCCTATGGTCTCAAGGCGGGCAGTCCGGAGGCAATGGGAGCGTCCTCTCACTGCCACGTGGAGTGCGGGGTACGGTGGCTTTCAGGGAGGTTGGATGTCTCCTAGTCCCCAGTGCCAAGGTCATAGCTGACCGGAGAGAGCCCCTGACGCGGCCGCGCGTTTCAGACAGGGACTCCTGGAGGGAACCTTCAGAACGGGGGGAAAACTTACCCAGCAGTGATCGAATTGAATCCTCCAGGCTTGAGGAGGGGATCCTGGCACGGGGAGAGGAGAGCCTGCCTGACCTAGCAGGGGTCCAGGGAGGGGTCTCCTCCCGGGTTTCGGCACCAAATGTAAAGGTAAACTGAGGCTGGAGCCGAACTGGGAACGAAGACACAAGGCAAACAGCAGTGAGAATAGCTTTTATTAGGACTCGTGGGCGAGGTTCCTCGGTCCAAAGGCGTGGGCCAAGGAAGTCGCGCTGAGGGAGGAGGATAGGGGCTTTTTATAGCCTGAGAGGTAGGGAAACTGGTTGTGCAAACAGGGCCTGGGGGGGTCTTGAAACTACTAGGGCAGGAGTTGAGTAAGGGTCATGAGGAAGGGGTCTTTGGAAACTGTTAACTGAAACTGCTGTTTACGAACTTGTGGAATGCAGGTGAGCTGCAGGTCATGGGGGAGTGTGGTTGCCCAGCCGGAACTCTGATGCATGTAAGTCTGTGGGTGTGTACAAGGGTGAAGGGAGTCTTCAACGAAAGGCCTGCTACGCCGGGTAATGCCGCCATGTTGGGTCTAGATTCCTGCCTAACAAGTATCAGAGTTTTAAGGTTTTAAAATGTATATATAAGAGTTAGATCTAAGATAGTAAGTTGGAGAGTTAAAACAATATATGTTTTTCTCAAACACACATCAATCCTTTAAAAAATCAACCATGAACAAAGTTTAAAAGCAAGTTCCAGCAACTTTCAAACTATTTTTATCAACAAATGATATTCTCTCACTACAAAGCAATTAACTCAGGAATCAGCAACAAAAAGATAAATTAAAAATACATATTTAAAAGAATTTGAAAATAAAAATCCTAAGGTGTCAGAATCACCTGAGGAGCTGAATAAAACTATAGACGCCCACCGGGCGCAGTGGCTCACGCCTGTAGTCCTAGCACTTTGGGAAGCCCAGGCGGGCGGATCACGAGGTCAGGAGATTGAGACCATTCTGGCCAACATGGTGAAACCCCGTCTCTACTAAAAATACAAAAAATTAGCCGGGCATGGTGGCAGGCACCTGTAGTCCCAGCTACTCAGGAGGCTGAGGCAGGAGAATTGCATGAACCCGGGAGGCAGAGCTTGTAGTGAGCCGAGATCGCACCACTGCACTCCAGCCTGGGTGACAGAGTGAGACTTGGTCTCCAAAACAAAAAACAAACAAAAACTGTAGTTTCCCAAGCCCCACTTCAGAGCTATTGAGTCTGAATCTTTAGGGTTGAAACCCCAGCTTGTGTATTTAAAAAAAGAAAAATACAAAAAAAAAAAAAACCCAGTATGGATGCTTTTGATACACACCCAGGTTTGGCCCTAACTGCATTAACCAATTAATTTGGATCATTACCTCAATAATCTTTTCCATTGACTTTTAATCCTTTCTTGACTATAATATGAATTTCTACACACACACACCCTTAACTGCTTTCCTAGGTGCTGGCACACTCCCCCTCTTACAGGTGGAAGGTGGGTTGATAGGCACAGCAGGCATCCACTTACTATGGCTCATTCAGCTGAAACAGGATATCTTTTGTCTTTACTGCTCAGTTCTTTGCAAATCTGAACCAACAGGGGGTGTAATGGATGTCAGCAATCAGCATGTTTTGCTCCCAATGTTCTTCCCATCTGTATGCCCACCTGTAGAGCTGTTGTGAAACTGCTTCTTAGGATTGCATTGGTGGAAACTCCTGTCCTGCTTTATTTCCTGAAATGCTTCCTAGAAGGATCTGGTGGTTCTCAAAAGGAATTAGAAATGAAGATTCCAATGGAAGACAGGGAACTAATGGGCCAAACGAACATCTAGCCATTTATAAAGCAAGATCAACATGGTAGGGGTATGGCACTGACACACAGAAGTTTCTGATTAGGATAGTGTGGGAAGGCTGAGGTCAAGGTCTTCTTCCAGCATCAGGTTGTCTCTGATTCAGAAGGAAAGAAGCCAAAGGGCTCATGTTGGGTTTCCTGTCTAGCAAATTGACCTTGTGTTTAGTGAAAATTTCTCCAAAATCCTGGCAGTAGTTTGACTGTTAGTCTTGGTTCTCACTCTTCTAAGTTTTGATCTTTTTCTGTTGCAGGAAATGGCATCAGGGACTACTTAACTTGATCACATTTTAACCCAAGAGAAAAAGATCTTGAGGGCCATCTGTCTTATTAAAAATTATGAACAAAGGAATGGAAATAACATTTTAATTAATACTTCTCCCATTCCTCTCATTTCTACTTTTTTCTTACATTAAAATCTATATAATCAAATTTAGTTTTAAAATATTGGCAAAATACCAGTGTATAGATATTACCTTGGTATTTTGGAACTATATTGGGTATGGTAGCTATTACTTTAATACTATTCTATATGTTTATATATAGAATCACATGTAAAGTTTTTCTCACTCTTTCCTACAGAATTGGTGATATGGGGCTAAGGCAATTTCTTGATGGTCCTGCAAGCATAAGGATAAGAGAGCTAAATTTAAGCAACTGCGTGCGGCTAAGCGATGCCTCTGTTATGAAACTATCTGAGCGGTATGATAAAACAGTCTTTTACATCATATCATTAGTAATTGTATATTTGATAATAGGAGAAATGAGACACCTAAAAGCAAAGATTTCATGATATTGGGGGGAACATCAGAGATGCCCAGAAGCTGGTTAAATATTCAGTGAAACCATGTGAAAGACATAGGAAGTCACAGATTGGACCAATTTTTAAATTATATTATTATATTTAAATTACATCTGAGATGGAGTCATTCCTGAAATAATGAATATCTAGATATGAGTGGCTGTACTTTTTCAAGGAGATTATCTCTAATCTACTTTTTCAAGGAGATTATCTTTACTCCAGCATTTTCCAAGGGGTATTCTGGCTGGTTACTTTATTCTTGACTCCCCTCTTGTCAGAAGTCTTGTACAATTCCTGTAGCACACTTGTAAGGGATAAGTAGGGATCTTAACTTGCACTTTTAGAGGTCATTCATTGTGGTACTTACATGATAGTTTTTATATGTATGTGATATATTTTTTCCTTGTAGAAGTCACAATATGAAACTAAATTACAGAAAGTCATACAATAATCTACTGCCCTTTCATCCAGCTTTGTAATGTCAAATTACTTTTTACTTTTAGTCTTACTTTTATGTTGAGTAAAGGAAAATCCTTGCTTCGATACCATTTATTTTCCCAAGAGAGTTTTTATATGAAGAAATTGCTTACTGACAATATGATTGACAGCTAAAATTAATTCATGCTACTTTCTTTTAGCTGCCCTAATTTAAACTACTTGAGTTTACGAAATTGTGACCATTTGACAGCCCAAGGAATTGGATATATTGTAAACATCTTTTCCTTGGTATCAATAGATCTCTCTGGAACAGACATCTCTAATGAGGTAAAAAAAATTCAAAACAGTACAATGACTTTTGTTTTCTATAATACAATTATTTGCTATTTTGTAAACAATGGAGAGAACAACAATATGTTTTATTTCTTATCCTATTATGAAAGTGAAGTTTAGGGATATTGTTTCTAGAAGGGTGATAAAAAAGTTTCTTTGTGAATCAACAGTCATGTTTCTCTGTTTAAAAAAATAGCAAAATATAGTATTTGGAGGAAAGTCATGACAGATCAGAGTATGTCATGATAATTTGAGATTTGTTTCATTATAGAAGTTTTGGAGATAATATATGTTAGATGGCTTAACTATATGTTTCTTACAGATTGCACATTTTATAAGACTGCCTGAATGCCTTGAGATCTAAGTCTTTAGTTCAAGACTATAAGTCTAGAAATGGCCTCAACAAATCTACAAAAGGATATATTTTAAGGAATTCATTTCCTGCAAGCTGCTGATTGTATTCATCAGGGTTGAGACTCAGGCCATATCCATCTTATCCTTCTGGGACTGCCCCATTTACTAATCAAAAGGAGGATAACCCTGAGAGATTTGTCATGTTTCTGAAAGAACTAAATGGGCTATAGTTATATTAAGGAATATATGGACTTCTCTTGAAAATCATGCATTTGGAGGGATATAGGAAGACAATATCTTATATCCTATATCCTTCCTATATAGGAGGGATAGCCCCAGTGCATCCTTTAACATGAACTGTTTCTCTCCGCTTCTCACTGCATTGCAGACATCTGTGTTATGTGTTCATCCTTCGTCAACATTCAGTGGGGTCTTTTAAATGAAGGACTAGATCTGTTCATTGGTCTAGGTTCTTTCCTTTCTTTATCTATGAATGAACTTGGATTCAGCCTTCTTTGTGCTAGATGATCTCCTCTTCCCTTCCATATCATCCATGAGTGATAGGAGATTGTGGGTAGGGAGCAGTATCATGGAGTCAACTCATTATGGCAGGGTCAGTGTCTGGTCTTCTCAGTGTTGTCTTCTGTCCAAGCTGGAATTCACTGAGATGTACGAGGGCCCATTTGGTGTTTAGTTTCCTGTCCAAGTGAATCCCGGATGTCTCTTCCTTGTTCCAACTCCAAGGCCCCTTCAAGTCTTCAGGCTTCCCTGTCATGTCTGCCTTGCTCAGGGCTCCTCTGGGTTTTTCTGCGTCATGGAGATCCTGTGAGGCTGTCTTAGGTCCACAGTCCTAGACAACCTGCTGGAGACATTTTCTTGCTCCCGCATCATGGATGTTTTTGCCCCCAAACCCATGACTCACCCTCCCCTTGCTCCGCTACACAGTGACTCACACAAGTCAGCTGGATTCCAGAGTAGGGTTGGTGCCTGTGAGACATTTGTGAGTGATTAAAGGGCCAGCAGAAGGGATATTCCAGGGTTTTCCTCTACCTTTCTTTGCATCATCATCATCAGCTGCATTTCTTTAGTGGTATACTCCCCTCTGAACCACAGGCCTGCTGTGGTTCTAGCTTCCCTGAATGACCTTGACCTCTGGGCTTCTATAACATCATATCTTCCCATTGTCCTTCCAGCATAGGGACAGTAGTGGCTTCCTACTGCTGCTAAGTTCTAGATTTTGTCACTGTCCCATTGGCTTCTCAGTTTCTCTACCACCTATGTAGCCACTCCCCCATTAAAATTAAATCTCAGTTTTGAATGCTCAGGGTTGTTTCTCCTTTTCCCATTGACTCTTAACTGATGCAATGACAAGCACAGGAACACTCTGTCTTACTGCTTTTATCAACCCTCCTGGGAAAGGTGGAATGGGTTCCCATCTACTTAGGTCCCCAAGCCTACCTGGGGGTTCTAACTTTTTCTCTAGCTGGGTAGAGACTGAGAAGGTCTAGAACAGAGCCCCATATGGTGAATTTCTCAGCATTTGCTTCCCTCTGGCTCTCCCCTCCCCTCCTCTTTTCCCCTGTCCTCTCCTTTCCTCCTCTCCCTTCTCATCTTCTTCCCCTCCACCTCCTCTCTCCCCTCTCCTCATATTTGCTCCTCTCCTTTTGACATAGATTATTTTCCTAATCTGAGGGTGGAAAAGAATGTTCCAACCGATTACATGGTTTTGAAAAATGTTATGCTCCAAGTCTTTCAGGGCTTGGGCTTTTGAAGCTTAAAGGCCCAGGATTTTTCTCCTATGTTCTTCTGTAAGAACCTTTTCCTGACAGATAGGAGTAGAATGGCCAGCTGTTGTCTGAAGGGTCACAGAGCGACGAGAAGTAGAGAATCAAAGCACATTATAAAACACATCAAAATATGATTCCCCCACAGCACTTACCACAAGGCTGAAGTGCCTGGGGAATATTTGTTGACTGAATGGAGTAAAGGTTAAAATGCTTATTTAGTTTTGTCAAAAGTCAGACACTTCTCAAAAGAAGACATTCATACAGCCAACAGACACATGAAAAAATGCTCATCATCACTGGCCATCAGGGAAATGCAAATCAAAACCACAATGAGATTCCATCTCACACCAGTTAGAATGGCAATCATTAAAAAGTCAGGAAACAACAGCGTGCATTGGAGAGACTGTGGAGAATAGGAACCCTTTTACCCTGTTGGTGGGTTGTAAACTAATTCAACCATTTATTGGAAAAAACAGTAATGGCGATTCCTCAAGGATCTAAAACTAGATTGTAACCCCATTATGATCCCAGCCATCTCCATTACTTGGGGTAATTATACCCAAATAAGTGAATTTATAAATCATTGCTGTCTATAAAGGACATCATTGCACACGTATGTTTATTGTGGGCACTATTCTCACTACTAGCAAAGATCTTGGAATCAGCTTTAAAGATGTCCCATCAGTGGACGGACTGGATTGAGAAAATGGGTCACATATTACACCATTGGAATACTATGGCAGCCATATTAAAAAGGATGAGTTTGTGTTCCTTTTAGGACATGGATGGCAGTGGAAACCAATCATTCTTTAGTCTAACTATTCACTAAGAAACAAAAAAACCAAACTACTGCCAGTTCTCATCTTTCATTAGGTGGGAAATCTTCTGAACAATGAGATCACTTGGACTCGGGGAGGGGATAACATCACACCACCGGGCCTATCATGGGGAGGAGGGGGAGATTGCATTTGGGAGTTATACCTGACATGTAAATGGACGAAGTTTTGATGGGTGCTGTGACGAGTTGTGATGGTGCACCACACCAACATGGCACAAGTATACCATATGTAACAAACCTGCACGTTATGCACATGTACCCTAGACACTAAAAGTATAATAATACTAATAAAAAAAAAAAAAAAAAAAAAGTTGTATTTAGTTTTTAGCATTTGGGGAAAGCTCAGGTTTTATTTTTAAAGACTGTATATTAAAATTTTATCTACAGAGGACAAGTTAAAAACTTAGGAATATAGGCCAGGCACAATGGCTCATGCCTGTAATCCCAGCACTTTGGGAGACTGAGGCAGGCAGGTCACTTGAACCCAAGAGTTTGAGACCAGCCTGGGTAACATGATGAAACCCCATCTCTACAAAACATACAAAAATTAGCCAGGTGTGATGATGCGCACCTACAGACCCAGCTACTCAGGAGGCTGAGAGGTGGGAGTATGGCTTGAGCCCGGGAGGTCAAGGCTAGCGAGCTGTGATTGTACCACTGCACTCCAGCCTGGGAAACCTGGGCAACAGAGTAAGATCCTGTCTCAAGAAAACAAAAAACAAAAAACTTCGGAGTATAGCCTTGAGTTCTAGTCTCTGTTTTTATTTTCTTCCGAAGCATATATGTAATTTAAGAGAATTGTAAATGGATATCGATGGGGAATTATACTAATTGTTTTCTGCTACAAGATTGAAAAATAAGTCTTCTGTTGTTTTCTTCCTCCAAGTCAGTTAAACTCTGATCTAAAAAGCAAATGATTGACAATTACAGTGCTACAACAGCTGAGGAAGCTAACCTCAAACAGTCAAATTAAAATGAGTCATCCCGGATGTCAACTTGGGCAGCTAAACACCAGCCTGATTGATTATAGGTCTGAGTAAGTGCAAATTTGACTACAGACATAACATTCAGGATTTAAACTGGAATGTTGCAGATACCCAGCAAAGATCAAATGTGACCAGTGGTGCCATTTGGGGGAAAATTTCCCATATTTTCTAATAATTGTGTTCATTCTCAATTCTTAATGGTGAATTTTCAGTTAGAATCACACTACTCATTTAGTTAACAAGTATTTACTCTGACTACATTGTGCTCAGTGCTGAGAATACTGGAATGAACAAAACAGCCATGATTCCTCCTCCTAGTACTTACATTCTAGTGGGAAGACAGGAGTGGGGCAAGTGGTTACACAGTATGATGAGTGTGGGAAACAGAGAGGGGAAACCTAACCTGGCTCAGAGGACTTCTTTTCCCAGAGAAGAAGGGATGTCCTGTGAGCCAGAGAAGCAGCCTGCACAAAGGCATAGAGGTTTAAAACTGTGAGACATCAAGAAACCCACACATTTCGGTATGGCCTGAGAAGTATGGTGAGAGATGATGTTTAAGAGGTAGACAGGGATCAGGTCATTGAGGGTCCAGAGGCCACATTAAGGAATTTGATCTCTGCTCTTTGGGCCGTGGAAGGACATTCAGTATCGTCAGAACAGTAACATGGTCAGATTTTTTTTATTCTGAAAAGGTCACTTCTATCTGCTAGACAGATACGGGAATCATAGATGCATAGTGACCAATTATAAAGCAGTCATCCAGGTGAAAAGTTATGAACGCCTGTGTTAGGGAGAGGGCAGTAAGCATGTAGCAAAGTCAGCACAGTTGGGAGACACTGAGGAAGAAGAAACAATGAGATAGAGCTCAACTGAATGTGAGGATAAGGAAGAGAGGGAGCAAATCAAGGATGGCACCAGAGTTTTGGCTTGAGCATCTGCATAAAGGATGGTGTGCCTTCCTCAGCTGTGTCTCTTACACAATCAGGGAGCAGGTTTGCTGCAGGTTGGGAAAATGAACATGTTTAGTTT